CACCAAATCTAGTTCGTTACCCATTTTACCCCTCCCTTCAAAAAACTTCTCAAAACCCCTCGCCCCCACCAGTCAGTCACCACCGTCTCCCAGACTCCCAATTCCATCTTCTCCATTCAATCTAGCGTTTCGAGTTCTCGCATCTCATGTAGCCCCGGATTTCGCTATTCTTCCTTCTTGATTCGAATTAGGGTTTCAAATTCAATTTCCCCAATCACTTTTTCTGTCTTCGAAATTTCCTCTTTTTTTTCCCCCCTATTTCCGATTTGTTTCTTGTAGCAGTGTGGGTGAAAAGTTAGGGTTTTTGAAAATTAGGCAAAAAATTTATCCATCAACAACTCGTCGCTTTTGTCTCCTCCGCATGTAAGGTACCGCCTCGATGATTTTTTTATTACGTCGCTGTCATTCGTGCTTGATGGCGTCTGGAAGTTGTACTCAAGCTTGTCCTTTTACGAAATTCCGACGTTTTTTTTTTTTTTTTTGCTTTCGGTATAATTTTTTTTAGTTTGAAGTTCTTAAAATATTGCGGTTTTTTTTTAAATATTTTCTTTGCGTGATACAGGACAAGGTCAACGTATTGTTGGTTGGAGAATTTGGGATTGTCTCCTTCGTGGTTGTTTTTTTTCTTTTAATTAATTTGGAGGCATCGCGATGCTGGGTTTGAAAAGTAACGGTTTTGATGATAATCAAACGAGTTGTTTATATCATTTGGCCGAATGGCATCCACTAGAATAGCGCATAGTTGATTTGGGCGTATCGCTCGTCCCTTCTGATTCTCCCTCTGTGAAAATCAGGTTTCCTTCTTTGCCCATCTGTTTATTATTGGTTTTAATTTAATATCCGTGTTTATATTCAATTAAATTCTCCGAAACCCAATTGTCTTGAGGTTCAATGTGTACTTTTTGGATGTTGGTTTCTTCAGAAAACCTTATTTTTCTAATGGGGTGTGTTGATTTTCTTTCTTTCCTCCTTTTCTTTTTTTTTTTTTTTTGGTAGCTGGTAGTTGAATTCTGCTATCCACTGTCAACTGTAAAGACCGAGTTTGTAATGTTTAGTAAGAGTTTTCCCATCGCAAAATTGATGGGTTGCTGTAGTTGTTTTGGGTTTACCAGAAGGCGTAAACCGCTAGTCAGGCCGGCTCCTGGGTTCAATAATTGCCTTTCCCAAGAGCCATTGTTGGATGGAGATACGGAGTATGAGGATGATTGTTCATATAACGAAGATGTTACCAGCACTGGTAATTGTGATGAGAGTGAGGAACAAAGTATGGGTCATTGTGATGAGAGTGAGGCGCAAAGCCGCGCCAAACGTTCTGAAGAGATCCTGCGCTCCAGGTTAGAGAATGGATTGATTTGCAGGCAGTTCCCCGTCAAGGAAACCCATAAACTTGTCCGTTCAGAGGTATAGTTGAGGTTTTTCTTTTAGCCAGTGATGGAAGCTTTCTGAATCATGCTGATATTTTGGTCTTTGTCGTGCTTGGATTTTGTATTCTATTTAAGAATAACAGCCATCTTTACACTGTTTGTTGACGCTGCTTAATTTCACGGACAAAACACCAAGTATTATTACATTTTCGTCTTAGGGGAATTGTTTCTTGATAAGAAAATTTCACTTTGAATGTCTTCAGGATGACAATGGTAATAAAATGATCAATGAATATGTCCGTGAGTGCAAGATTGGTTCCGGTAGCTATGGAAAAGTGGTAAGCACAGAGAGCATTTAGCTAATGACATATTTTGTTTATACTCTTGGCGAAATGGTTCTTGAACGTTTTCCGTGTACCATAGGTTCTCTATCGAAGCAGTGTAGATGGAAAGCATTATGCAATCAAGGTATTATTCTTTTTCCCTATATGCTGACTCTGTCTTAGTCAAAACAAAAGAGAGAAGTGTGTACTACGGAGTTATGTGCTTAGAAGATGTTGCATTATGCAGGACATTGAAACTCACATTTATTGCTCATAGATATTTGAGTTAGCAAAACTTTTTGGCATCATCCAAATAGCTTAAGAGGTTTTTGTGAAACAAAGGTTTCACTTTTCTATTATCTGAATTGAATCTTTTGTTTTTATATTTTCAGGCCTTTCATAAGTCTCATTTGTTGAAGCAGCGGGTTGCACCTTTTGAGACAGCTATGACTGATGTTTTTCGTGAGGTAATATATATATATATATATATATATATATTGTGTGTGTGTGTGTGCGTGTGCGCGCGCGCACATGTGTGTGTATATCTTTGCTTTATTTTCTTTTCACAGATCGGAATGCAAAGTTTTCAGTAGTTGCTGGTGGAAAATCTTCACTGATGTTTTGGCTAATGATTTTACCCCCTTTCTGTCTAATATCCCTACCATTTATGTTTTTGAACTCCAGCGGAAATATGCTTTGATTTGCATTCCTTTCCTCAGAGTTTCTACCTGCAACATAAATTCCATTTTCTGTTTATTGTTGGACTACATAAGCTTCTTGCTCTGCGTGGATGTGTGTGTGACTGTGTGCAACTGTTTGTAATCTCAATAGTTTTTAAGGTTGCATGGAGAATTGCTTAACGGGGCATTCCAAAGAACCCCTGCTTGTTATGGCTTTTCCTTTTCCCGTTTTACATATGTGTAGCAGATTCAACGGGCTTAGAAATTTGTTTACCATATTGGATGATGAGCTATATAATTCTTTACAGGTCCTAATTATGAAGATGCACCCCTGCTTGTTATAGCTTTTCCTTTTCCCGTTTTACATATTTGTAGCAGATTCAACGGGCTTAGAAATTTGTTTACCATATTGGATGATGAGCTATATAATTCTTTACAGGTCCTAATTATGAAGATGCTAGACCATCCTAATATTGTCAATCTGATCGAAGTGATTAATGATCCAGAAACAGACCGCTTTTACATGGGTATTTATTACAACTCTGTTCTCCAATGATTAGAACTCTTCGGCTTATCTTCTTGATCATGAAATCATGATTATTAAGGCTGAATCTTTTGTTATTGAGTGCTCTTTGGTTAACCGTGTTTTTACTGGTTCTTTCTCCCCAGTTCTTGAGTATGTTGAAGGCAAATGGGTTTGCGAGGGTTCTGGTCCCCCTGGTGGCTTAGGAGAAAATACAGTCAGAAAGTACTTGCAGGATATAGTTTCGGGGCTCAAGTACCTCCATGCTCATGTATGAACTTGAAAGTCTGGTTGTGTCATTGTCTCAATATTGCTGATTCTTATGGGCATGTCCAGAGAATTGCACCACATAATGTGCTATATATATGTGGCTCCCTACGTATTCAGTTATCGTAACTTCCTTTAATATGCAATGATCAGTTTGCAATTAATGTTTTTCCACTTGTTTTTCTTTGATAACAGAATATTATTCATGGGGATATTAAACCTGACAATCTGCTGGTTACTGGCAATGGTACGGTGAAGATAGGAGATTTCAGTGTTAGCCAGGTTTTCGAGGTATGGAACTGTTGAGATCTTTTGCTGTGATGTTGTAGGAGTCTTGGTTGTTTGTTCAACAAAAGCTTGCAGATAGTTTAGGACCTTTCCTTTCTCTGCCTGTTATATTAGTTATTATTATTATTATTATTATTATTATTTGATAAAACCTTGTTGAGATCTTGTATTTTTATTTTGATGAACAATGTTGCCTTGTATATTATATCACACTTTCTTAAATGGCAATGCTATTTTTCTTGTTTTCAGGATGATAATGATGAGCTCCGGAGATCTCCTGGGACTCCTGTTTTCACTGCACCAGAATGTTGTCTAGGTCAGGATTTACTTTTAGTAAGGCTGTCCCTCTGTCATTTATGCTTTTGTCAGAGTCCAAATTTTTGTTAAAGAAAATTTTAGCAAATTTTTATCCCATGTCTGTTGGACATCTCACCATGCAGCCTGCATTTACATTAAATAAATGTTAAATTCAGATTTAAGATCGAAGCTAAATATTTACTGTATACACCAGATCGTGTGTAGATGCGCAAATTGTTAATTAATTGAATTTGAATATTGGACTGATACTAATTTGGGATGGCTATTTAATACTTTGTTTCCTTTTTTAGAAAAAAATAATAAACAATCGTTCATGGATGAAAAATCAATTACAAGGGAAGAGGACGAGGTCCTCCAATGAGAAATTGAAAAGAAACAAACAAATAAAAAGCGAAAACAAGACGCGGAAAACTGTAGACAACTCAGAATACTGTTATGAGATTTAAGCTATAATAATAGATGGATGATCTTATGACAATCCATTCCTTGTAGGACCGACATCAATTGATGTGTGTGGATTTTTCTTGTACAATTGGCAGGTGTGACATATAGAGGCCGAGCGGCGGACACATGGGCTGTGGGTATAACCTTGTATTGTATGATACTGGGTCAAATTCCTTTCCTGGGGGAGACATTGCAGGACACATATGATAAGGTACTGAAACTGCTCGTCTTTTTTGACACGGGCTGCTTATCATCTACAGGCTTAGTGCTTTGTTTACTGCCAATATCTGTCAATAAAATTTATGTTTCCTTCTCCAGATTGTTAATAACCCTTTAGTTCTTCCGGACGATATGAACCCACAACTGAAGAATTTACTAGGAGGACTTCTTTGCAAAGGTTAGTAAACTTACTGCTATGATATTTGCAATTTGAGCAGAACGGTTTGTAATGTAAAATTGTGTCATTCTCTTATGCAGACCCGGCGGAGAGGCTGACGTTGGATGCTGTTGCGGAGCATAGTTGGGTTATCGGAGATATTGGACCAATCCCTCAGTATTTATGTTGGTGCAAACGAAAGAGATTGCAGGAAGAAACTGATGAGAGCAAAGATGATGATAGTGGCATAACCAATACTTGACTAAATTGTTTAGGCTGGATTTGTTTCTGTACAGTTCATACTCTTTTATTTATTTATTTTTTCTTTTTGGGACTTAGATTCTGGTCTTGCAAGGGGTGATGTTGAAAAGTGGTCTTAGAAACGTTCCTAGATTATATAGCTTGCTTTGCCGAGCAATGATACCTCAATTGGTGTGCCTTGGATTTTTAGTTTTGGTTTTCAAATTTTCATAGTATTCCTTGTGTCTTGATTTTTTTTTTTTTTTTTTTGGGTTTTTTTCTATAATTTGATGAGAAAAGTTTTATTGTATCGGCCCTTGTTACATATTCATTGTGGCTTCTGAGTTTAATACATGAATGAGAAATACAATCTATTTTTCTCACTTGTGCTAGTGACGTTTGTTTATCAGAGTTCCTTCCATGTGTTTCGTATTTTCTTTAGATGTTGTGCCACTTGACCTATTGGCACTCCAATATTATCTTGCATAAAAGTTTTCAGCTTCCTGTTTACTTTTCTTTAAATTATACGGTGGAACCTTCAAAAGCTTTCTACCTGTGAAAGCTAATTTAACCGTTGACGGTTAGATTTGTACAGATTTATATTAAAAATATATAGCGCGCCATATAGAATTGTTTAATGTTAGAACTTTGAACGGGCCGTCCGCAACCGCCTGAAAATATTGAGTTTTTGCCCGATGCTTGACACGACCCACCCGAAATTTTTGGGCCCCCTGCCCGAGCCCGAGAAGGCCCGTGGACGGGCCGCGGGCCTGTATTTGGCTACCCGAGCCCGCCCGAATGCCCAAAAAAAATTTATATTTTTTAATTTTTATAATTATTAAGCTATTTTGCGTTAAAATTATATGAAAATTAAAATCAACATTCAACACACATTATTAACACAATTTAATAAATTAATTTTGTATATTAATTTTTAAATTCGTAATTCATGATTGTCTCGTTAAAAACCTTACCAAGAAAAACCCAATTGGGATAAAAACTTGGTAAGGAAAAAAAAGTTCAATCATTTTGTGACGAATTACAAATTTTACAAACTTATAAAGTTATACAATTACAATGTCAAAAGCAAAAACATATTTACAAATTACAAATTTACAATTTAATTTGAAGCTGAAGGATCGTCTTCAAAATTAAATGTTAATCTATTAAATTCATCGATCCATTCTTGACTTGTCGACGAAATTGTATCCCGTAGACGTTGATCGGCATAATCCCAATCCTTAATGCAGACCAAGGCTTCAACAATGTCCCTTTGCAATGCGTTTCGGCATTCCTCAAGTATTCGTTCTGTCGTACTGAAGGCTTGTTCGGATGAAACAGTGGAGGTTGGAATCGAAAATATATCCATTGCCAATTGAGTTAGGATGGACCAAGTTAATACTCGTGCCCTCCACCATTGAACTAAGTCAAACGATTCTCTAGTACCGTTGACTACTAAGCTCTCACTGAGGTAAGCCATAAGCTCGTTGAAGCTGCCGCCGCCACTGCCACCTATTGATGAATATCCACTCCCAACTTATGTTTGAGTTGTCTTCTTCTTCAACCCGAAAATATTCAAGAATGAATGCGGATTTTCATCTTGTTGTTACTGTTGGTAACCGAATCGAATTCGGATGCGGAAGCGTGGCGGGGGAGGCGGATCGTGTATAACAAAAATTTCATAAAACTTTTGAGATACTCTATAGATTATATTAATTTATGCACGAATAAATTAATCACATTAATTTATATGTCAAGAACTCAATTAGGAAAAATACCTCGAGGCCGACTCGGATGATAACTTGAGTTCTTTGACCACGAATAGTCCTTGCTCCAATCTTTGTGTTTATAAAACCAAAGTCTTCCACGTCAATTCCTTGATTCCACTAGACGTGTGTGTGGGCACACGTGGGACAAAACAGGTTTTCAAAAACACTCAAATTTTCACAAATACCAACGCATGCACGATGTGGAATTTTTAGGAGAAAAATTTTCCTATCTTTTTTTTAATGAGAATTTCGGCCACCAATGCAAGTTAGGGCAGAAAAATGTTTCAAAAATTGTGTTCACAATTTTCTATCATTCTCATATTTAAAGAGTATAAGTCAAACTTCAAAAAGGAATCAAATCTCTATCTCCTATTTGAATTTGGAACAAAAAATCTCCTACACCTTATCTCTAATGTGGCCGGCCACCCTAGGGTTTTTCTCCCTTGTGTGTGACGCCAATTCTGGATAGGGAAGGAAGAGAAATCATCATTTATCATGTAGTCCAATTTTAATTCAAATTCAAATTCGAATTTAAGTCAAACTTAAATTAATTTGAATTTTAAATTGAACAACTTATCAAATAAGTTTAAAAGGATAAATTTAAATTATGTTCACAATTCAAATTTAAATAATCACATTATTTAAATAATAATTAATTCTCAATTAATTATTTTT